CGGCGGCCGGCAGAGCGGAGGGGAAGATGGCGGTGGTGGCGCCGCTGCTGGCGCTGCTGTATTCCGTGCCGGGGTTGTGCCGCTGGCTGGCGCGGCCCTACTACCCGCTCTCCGCCCTGCTCGCCACCGCCTTCCTGCTCGTCCGCAAGGTCCCGCCGCTCTGCCAAGGCCTGCCGTCCCAGCGGGAGGATGGCAACCCCTGCGACTTCGACTGGGTGAGGCGGCCCGGCCCCAGGCCCGGCCCTCCCCTCGGCTCGCACCCCCTGAGCCTGGGTCCCTTCCCACCCCTACAACCCGAGCCACCGGGTCTGTCGCCCGCCCCAGTCCCCACAACCCCGGCCCAGCCGAGGGAGCGGGGAAACGCAGCAGCCACCGGCGTTGCTCTGCGGGTGCTGTCCCGCTGCTGAGGGGCATCCCCAGGCACGGGTGAGGGTGGGAGGCTGCGCCCATCAGGGCAGGGGCAGCCCCCTCGCCTTGCTGTGTGCCCCTCAGGATTAGGGAGGGAAAGCAGCTCCAGGAGGAACTGGCAGGGACTTGGGGCCAGCAGGGCCTGACACAGCCGCTTGTCCCCGTGCCAGGCTGGGCCAGGAGCAGCCTGACTGCAGGAGGGTGGTGCAGCAGCCGCCGTGCTGGTGGCCACTCCCAGGCTCTGCAGACCGGCAGCACTGGGCGGCCGCAGGGTCCATGGGTGCCTTCTGCTCACGCCGTCTCTCCTGTCACAGCGGGAGGTGGAGATCCTCATGTTCCTCAGCGCCATCGTGATGATGAAGAACCGACGTTCCAGTAAGTCAGAGCCTGTGCTGTGGTGCAGGTGTGGGGGGCTGTGGGGCTGCTTATGGGGCCTCTCCCAAAGGGCTGGATGGGTTGGTGTCCCCTCAGGATCCCCCCTGGTCCTCTGGGGACATCTGGCCCCATCTTCTATCCCTCTTTCCCTTCCCCAGTCACCGTGGAGCAGCACATCGGGAACATCTTCATGTTCAGCAAAGTGGCAAACGCCATCCTTTTCTTCCGCCTTGACATCCGCATGGGTCTCCTCTACCTCACGCTCTGCATAGGTGAGCCCTGCTGGGGGGACCCTGCAGCGCTGGGGGGGGCAGCAGTGGTGCCCCCTTGGCACGGCCTGGCCTGCCCTCAGCACCTGCTGTCCCTGCCTGCCCATGCTGCCCGGCTAGAAGGGCTGGAGGTCCCTCTCGCCATGGGGTTGGCCTGTGGCTTTCATTGCTGGAGGAGGATGCAGGTGTGAGGAGGAGTCTCTGTGGTCTTGGGGGCAGTGGTGAGCGAGGGAGGGGCTCAGGAAGCACCTCGAGGGGGGCGTCTGTCTGCCCCAGAGCTCCCTCTGCCTTGGTTCCCCTGGGCTGCTCTGGGGGCCTCAGGGGCACTGTCGTTACAGTGTTCCTGATGACCTGCAAGCCCCCCCTCTACATGGGCCCTGAGTACATAAAGTATTTCAGCGACAAGACCATAGATGTGAGTATCCCCTCCCAGGGGGGTGCTGGGGGGGCTCTGCCTGCCATCCCCCACTGAGCCCTGTGCCCCTGTGGCAGGAGGAGCTGGACCGGGACAAGCGAGTGACCTGGATTGTTGAGTTCTTCGCCAACTGGTCCAGTGAGTGCCAGTCCTTCGCTCCCATCTTCGCTGACCTCTCTCTCAAGTGAGTGGTGCTGGCCGGGGGCCTTGGCGAGTCATGGGGCTTGTGCCCAGCCCCTGGCAGTAGCCTGCAGCACTCACGGCTGCGTGTCCCCTTCCTCCTCAGGTACAACTGCTCAGGGCTGCACTTTGGGAAGGTGGACGTTGGTCGGTACACGGATGTCAGCACCAGGTCTGGGAGCAGGCAGCCTGGGCAGCGGCGCCCGTGCCAGGGCAGGGTCCCTGGGAGCCCCCAGCTGCCTCTGCCTGCTTGGGGGTCACCGACAGCCTCTCCCTCTCCTGCCACAGGTACAAGGTCAGCACCTCGCCCCTCACCAAGCAGCTGCCCACCCTCATCCTTTTCCAGGGTGGGACAGAGACCATGCGCCGGCCTCAGATCGACAAGAAGGGCCGGGCCGTGTCCTGGACCTTCTCCGAGGTGGGGTCCAGCCCTGGGGGCAGGGTGGGGCTCAGCAGCCAGCCAGGGCCCGGGGAAGGGTCGGGGGGTTGCAGGGGGCGCCGGGCGTGCTGACGCTGCCTCTCGGCCGCAGGAGAACGTGATCCGGGAGTTCAACCTCAACGAGCTCTACCAG